CATAAGGAAGATCTCTCTCTCTCTCTCTCTCTCTCTCTCTCTCTCTCTCTCTCTCTCTGCTATTTGAAGAGTTCTGGTAAATTCATACACTAAATAAGGATATTTAGGTTAATAATGGACCATGCATGTTACTATGGTCCCATAAGCTTATAATGGAGCCGAGAGAGTCCTGTCTGCTCTGGATGGCATGGCTGTTGTAATTAATGTCCTAGTGCAACGCATTGCTCACATCCTCACGGTACTGTCAGCATAACTCTTTCTGCCTTCCTGTCCTCCAAAGGTAGCACATGCAATTATGTACAGTGGGTAATACCTGTTACTGATAATAAGTGACTGTTCCTGGCTTATGCATTTACTGAACTGTACTTTGTATTATTATTTTAGAGAATGCACCTACTTATTAAAACAAAGCTTACTGTAAAACAGTATACAGTGCTATGCAGGCAGCAGCCTCATATATGTTGTTTGCTTTTACCTTACTTCCTGTTTGTGTGGAGAAGTCATGTTAAGTGATTGGTCTGTACCATTTAGGTTTGTGTATACTCTGGTGTTCACACAGGGATGAAATCACTGACAGCACATTTCTCAGAATACGTCCCCATTGTTAAGTGACACATGACTGTGTATGTAGCCATGGGTCATACTGACCAGAGACTGAGTTTTATCACAGTGTGATTTAGGACAAGGCATGTCCCTTCCCCAGGACATCTCCATGTGCATAGTGGTGGAGACGGTGAGTCCATGTGCACGATTCTCAGATTTGGAGCTGTTGCCTGGCCAGCATCAAGCCCTTTTCTGTTGGGAACACTACCTCAGGTTTTCTTTGGGAAACTATTCCTCCTCCACTTTCAATCCTAGTGCATAAGCAATATGACCACTTTCTGTTTCCAGTGATAAACATGTGACCCAGGCCCAGCAGGTAGGGGAAGCAGAGCTGGCTTCCTGAGACCACCCTTGCCTGTGGATCCCTGCTGTATTGATCTTGCAGGTACAGTGAGGCAGGAACCCGCCAGCATGCTTGCTTCTTAGTCCAGGTACAGAGCCTCTTATGTGTGCCTGGCCATGGACACTAGGCCTCCTGTTACTGTTGGTGTCCTCTAGCATCTCCCTGAGTTAGTTTCTACACCCACGAGTGTCTGAGTCACCGCAGCACTCTGCCCTGTGTTGATGGAGTCTGACGCTGCAGCTTCACTAAGCACATGCTTACTCGGTTCTGCCTCTAACCTCATAATGCTGTACATTTAGAAAGTCGAATTCCAGAAAGAGACAGAGACAGGAGGTTGGTAGAGTCCTCAGGAAAGCTCTATTCCACAAGCTGAGTAAGAAAGAGGTCTGCTATAGGGCAGCGGCATCCTGTCTTCTAGTAATTTACCTAGCAGCCCAGAACAAGGGCAGGAGGAAACCCGAGACTCCCTAAGGTCTCCAGCAGCCTCAAGAAGACTGTCTTGGGGTCCTGCGTTCTGCGTAACTGGAAATACCATGGGCCTCTCCACTACTGTGGATAAGGGCTACAGGACAGAAAGCCTGCTTTCTCCTATATGAATTGGGGGGCATGGAGTGGGTGACTCCAGAGGTTCCACATGCTCGGAAAGCATCTGTCATCCTGAGTTCTCCATCAATGGTCCTTATGCTCTGAGGCTTTGGAGAAATGCCTTTCACTCCCTGGAGGCCCTTAAGTGTAGGGAGAGGCTTGGAGCTTGGACAGATAAGGACTCACTGCAGGCTGTAGGAGAGAAGGTTCCAGAGAACTGGATCCTGAGCCTGCAACAAGATCATTACTTGCTGGGTCCTTGGGGTGCTCGTTCGGAAATGGGGGAATCACTGTCTTTGCTCAAGTGGGCACTACTCAGGGTGCGAACTGCACTACCCAGGGGGTGTAGGCAAAGAGAAGCTGAGGGAGGCTCCTCCCACTGCCACACCTTGGGAAACCACGACCTTGAGGTCGCATAGACAAAGCCTGTGATGTGTGCTGTGAGGCTTCTGCCTGGGTTGCAGTGCTGGAACTGGCTAACAGAAGCTGGCAGCCTCCTCTGTCTGTGATGCCCTGGGCTATGACTAGAGCCAGGAAAGAGTCCTGCAGCTGTCAGCTGTCACTCTGGCCATCCTCTTGCATCAAGGCTAACTTGTACCTCCTGTTATCACACCCACAGCCTGAGCAGATCAGAAATAGGAAGTGGAGAGGGTTCCACAGTCTTCCCTTTCATTCATTCAGCAGCCAAGCCCTTGGCACTGACTCATGCCTGGCACCCTGGTGGGCTCAAGCATGGGGGGCTGAAAACCACCAGATGGCCTTGACTCCAGCGCGAGGCCTGGAGCAGATGCACGAAGCAGGCGTGGAAGTATATATGAAGGAAAAGAGGGTGTGCTAGAGGAAAACGAAGCATGGAAGTAGGGGGTGGGCTGAAGAGACGCTGGGCTGGGGGGGATGGGAAGGCCTCACCGAGATAGCATTTAAGCTGTGAGCGGAATAGAGAACAGCAGAACCAGTGGGGGCCAGCCTGCACACATCTGGGAGCTCTGTGTCAGTAAGAAAGCCCCACTGGGACAGACTTTCAGACAGGAGGAGGTTAGAACAGCAGCCGGTCAGGGAGTCTGAGGAGCTCCTGGGTCCAGGTAATTTGTTTTTCTCATAACATGAGCACTGTTAAAGTGCAGTTAATCTTTCATAGTTCCCTGGACCAGGATCCCGGCGTGGCTTACCTAGGAGCCTCTGCCTCAGGTCTCTCAGGATGCTGGCACTGTGGTCTTAGTGGAGCTGGAACTGGGAGGGTTTGTTCATTTGTGTTCATTCACGTGGATCTGAGAGCCCGTGCTTCTTTCTGACTGCTGTCCTGAGCTCTCCCTGGTTCTCTGCATAGAGTAAGCCTGAACACGGACCATGCCTGACTCTTCAGCTAGGGGGTTCTGACATTGAGCAGGAGGTAAGACAGGGCTGAGATGGGGAGAGGAAGGGGGCAGAATGGAGAGAGATAGAGAAGATGGGAAGGAACACATGGGAGGGTGCAAGAGAGACAGCCTTTGCCAACTCAATCTTGGAAATTGCAATATAATCAGTGATTATGGTACCCAGAAGTCCTATGTGGAACTCCTCATTCCCACAGTAATGGCATCAGGAAGTGGACCTCAGGGAGGTAATTAAATTATAAGATTAGGGGACCCCAGAGAGTTCTCTTTTTTCTAGCTCATGAGAAATTACAGAAAGAAATTGGAAGTCTACAATCCTGAAGTGGGACCTCATCAGAATGCGTCCATGTTGGCAGTCTGATTTCAAATTTGCAGCCACTGGTGCTTTGAGAAACACATTTCTGTTACATGGAGCCCACCCATTCATGGCAATCATATAACTCACACCACTCCTGTGGGAATAACCTCCCGTTGTTTTTGTCATATTTCATTGGTCAAAAGTGTTTGTGTGGTTTGTGTGCACATGCATTCATGGTATGCATGACTGTCACATGTGTGTGAAGGTCAGAGAACAACTTGGGGGGAGTTGGCTCTCTTCTCTCATTTTGTGGGTTCCAGAGATAGAACTCAGATCATCAATCTTGGCAGCAAGCATTCTTACCCATTGAACCATCTTACTGGCCCTGCATCCATGTTTTCAAGGCTCTGGCACCAGAAAAATCTAGAGAGGCTTTCCCCACTGCATCAGGTTTTCCACTGGCTCAGCTCTCAGCACTGAAGTTGTGTCCATTTACCAGGGGGTACCCCAAGGCAACAAAGGGTAACTCATCGCTCTCCCTCTTAATGTGCATGGGTGGGTGTGGGCAGATATAGGAAGCAGGAGGTCAGAGCAGACCCATTCTGGGCAGGAGCACAGTACCCCAGGTCATTGCTAGCAGGGTGGAGGGTGAATGGTGCATGGAACATACCTCTCTGGATGTTCATCTTTGAGCCTTCACCTCATTTTTTTCTCTGTCTAGAGGTTCATGAAGTGGTTCCTCTAGGCCTGATCTGAGGAGCGGGATTTTTCTTTAAATTTTTATTTTTATTTATGTGTGAGTGTGTGTGTGTGTGTGTGTGTGTGTGTGTGAGACACGTGTAGGGGTGCCAAAGGAGGCCAGAAGAGGGTATCAGACCTCCTGGAGTTGGAGTTACAAGTGGTTGTGAGTTGCACAACATGGGTGCTGGGAATGGAACTTAGGTCCTCTGTGTTAGAAATAAGGAGTTTTAACCCTCTCCCAGTTTGGGCACTAGAATGCTAGGGATTAAGAACTGAAAGAGTTGCAGGTGGAAAGGAAAAGCAACCAACTTCATACAATCCACACTGACATTTATTAGTCAATGAGGGGTGACTACTGACCAGCGGGAGTCTGCAGTAGCCACACAAGCCAAACAGTGGGGGAGCTTAAGTACTTTTGTGTGTGTTAACAGAGTCATGGGGGTTGGGTAGAAGAGCTAGGGCCTGCACTCCCTCCCACCAAGAGTCTCGGGAGGGCTTGTGGGAGAAGATTTAGGGTATGCAATCTTTTCCCCATAAGGGTCTCAGATGGTCTTGTTTGCAGAACATTATGGTTGGGGTTTATGGGATCCCGGATGGGCTTGTTTGCAAAGCAAGTATTGCTTTATGGTTTGAGGCTAGTGGAGGTCCCCCTTCACTCTGGAAGAGAAGCAAGCACTAACCACTGAGCAATCTCTCCAGTCCCAGGGACAGGATTTGGGATGGTGGTGTTCCCGCCACAATGGAGGCCAGGCAGTTCCCTGACCTCATGGCTAAGCTACTAAGCACTGTCTGAGAGCTCTAATTGAAACAAAATGAAGTGCCAAGCATGCTTCTAATGCTATTTCCTTTGAAGACCTGGTATCTGTTTTAAGTGACTGAATTCCAGTACCCACCAACAGTCCCTGCTAACGATGTGGGCATCCCCTTTAACCTCTGTCTTCCTTACTGAAAGTGTGTTCCACACAGGCAGGACTAAGGCAGCTACAGTGCTTAGCACACATCAGGGGGAAAGAGAGTGGGAGGGGGAGAAGGAGAGTACTCTGCATAAACAAAGGCTTTATTTGAGGTTGGGAGGAGGATGGCACAAGTACAGGCCCTGGATAGTGTCCAGGGAGCGCTTCCAGCTGTCCTTCCAGAGCTGAGCCTCCATCTCCAGTGTTCTGAAGTCATCCTGGATCTTCTTCAGCTCTTTGTCAAACAGAATCAAGTATTTCTGGAGGAAGGAACAGGAAGGCCCATGGGGAGGGGCTCCTGTCCTCCCTGCTCTTATTGCCTTGGGCACTTGGGGACCCACAGCAAGCCACTCCTGACTCTCGTGCACCAGCACCTGTCCCATAAGGCATTTTTCAGGAATTCGTCCAACAAGCTCTCAGGTAGATTAGGCTTTTTTTCCTACTTGAAGCCTCATCTGGGGTCACCCAGCTCCAGAGAGGCTGAGTAGGGACTGAGGCCCATGTCTATCTGGCTCTGGGCCCTGTGCATTCCTGGACTTTGCAGAGGACATGGGGGTTCCTGGCTTCTTCAAGAAACTGAGTCCTGGACCTCCAGCCCTCACTGAATTCAGCAGGCAGAGCCTCTCTCTCTGCCTGGGACTTGGAGGGGCAGATGGGGGTACACCCACGAAATGGGCACTTTCCTGAGAAATGGGCACTTCATACTTTCCCCAGGACCAGTGCCTATCTAGACCAGACTGGGTTTCTCTCTGGGCACCAGGACCAAGGGTCCATGTATCTTCATGGCTGAGGGGTCCTTCTGGTGGCATTTGGGTATAGCCTCCTCATCAGGTCAGACCCACAGCCTGCCAGGCACTGGGATCAAATCCTGGCTCTGCCACTCAGTAGTGGCACAGAAAGGCCAGAGTCTTTAGGTGTCAGTGTCCTTGATGGTGAAATGGGGGTAGGAATTGCTGAGAGGATTTGGTGAGGTGCCTGAAGTCAAGAATAGAAGGTACCAGGCAGCACTCAGAGGTTGCTAGTGCTCCTGCTATGTCCCTCAATGCAAATCTGCTGCTCCATCATTGCTGTGCTTGTCTGCCCTGTCCCTGACTTTACTGTCCCTCTGCAAAGTTTTTCTTCATGAGCTGGGTGAGGTGTCCCTCATCTGCCCCACCTCCCAGCACCAAGGTTCATGTCTCTGAGTCACGCTGGAACACCGCCCTTGGCACATGTCCTGGTGCTTTTCTTTGGACATCGCTTTCTCATGTCCTTATGCCTATGGAGAATTGAGACCAGCAGTTCTGGGGCATGTTGGCATACGTTTGCTCCATGGACCAGGTGTTGGGGTATCCAGCAGTGTGATGCTTCCTCCTTCCCACCACATCCTGACTCACCAGGTACACAGCATCTCGGGCTTCCACAGTGGCCAGGTGGCCCAGGGTGGTCTTAGAGGTGGTTATTGAGGCTGTCCTCTCTGTCAGAATCTTGGTTTGCATGGTGATTTCGTTGGGCTTGATTCCTGGCCACTTCCTACAACAGATATGCTTGGCTTTGTCATTGGCTGGCCACCCAGCACCAGGCTGGGAATGTTTGGCTTCATCATTGGTCAGCCACCCAGTACAAGTTTGTCGACGCTCAGCAGTTACCACAGTTTTAAACAGCTTCATTAAAAGTACCACCCTGCCTCTACCTCCCACCCTCCTGCCCCACCTCCCACCTTCCTGCCCTACCTCCTCCCCTTCTGGCCCTCTTCCCACCCAGAATTTCCTGTTTGCTTCTTTACATTCTCTGTTTCCCATTTCTGGGCTGCCTTAAGGGTATGTAACAGTCATGGGGCCTGATGTGTGGGAAAGGCCTTTCTGTGGGCCTCAGGGAGCATTCACTGGGCTCCTGGCCCATTTGCCTTTTTTTTTTTTAAGTTTTTATTTTTAAATGAATTCTAATTTTATATGTATAAATGTTTTGCCTGCATGTATATAAGTGTACCCATGTTTTACAATACACATGGAAGTCAGAAGAGGGTGTTGGATCCCCTGGAACTGGAATTATGGATGGTTGTTAGCTGCCATGGAACTGAACCCAGGTCCTCTGCAAGAACAGCCAGTTCTCTTAACCGCTGAGCCATCTGCACAGTCTCCCATTTTTCTATTATGCTATAGAGGCCTCTGCTGAGAACACAGCTGGGCCCATCATGCTCACAGACCCAGGGGACAGGCATTTTGACAGCTCTTATCACACGTGACAGACAACTGGAGTGGTTCACAGTGCCAGCAGTGATTTGACAATGTGCTCTCTACCTCCGGAACAGGACTTTCTTTCTTCATAGGCCCCTTCTCATGTGAAACGGTAGCTATGGAGTTCCCAGGGTGTATAGGGTAACCTCAGTAACCCATCTATCTTTCTCTGCAAACAGCCTTACTTATTTCAGAGGAGGAAACTGAAGATTGGAACACAGTGACTTTCCATTTGGTCTGAGTTCAGAACCTGAGACCCTGTTCCAACCCCAGTGGACATGGCCATTCACAGTGTCCCTTGCTCCCCTGGGCTGTCACCTGCTCCCACGTTCAATCAGGGGCTTCTCAGTCTCTTCTTCCAGAGAGAGCCTGGCCAGTTTCTTCCGTATGAGAACTGATGTTTTCTGCTTTGGGGGCTCCATCCCTGGCAAGAAAGAAGTGTGTTATTGACTAAAAACTCGAGAAGCAGAGATGTGCCACCATGATCACATATGGACACAGGAGGGCTCACCCTGGAAAGATTACGTTAAGGCTGTCTACCAGATGTCTAACCCACTGACACAATTTTGACATGCTTTTCTGGTGGGGAGAAAGGAACTCTGAGTGCAAAGTGAGCTAGAGACTATAGAGCACTCTTCAAGAGAGCAGTTAGGCACTTGCTTCAAAAGAACAGCTAGCATACCTCTACCACGGTCTGTGTTGGGGGGTCTCTGTTCCCTGACACCCTTACCAGGCCTGGGTGTCACCAAACTGAAACCAGGAAGCTGGATGCATACCTATAATACCAGCCATTGGGAGGCTAAGGCAGAACAATCTTGTGTTTAAGACCAATGGTGGCACATGCCTTTAATACCAGCACTGGGAGGCAGAGGCAGGTGGATCTCTGTGAGTAGGCCAGGTTGGTCTACATAGTGAGTTCCAGGCCAGTTGTAGCTATAGGGAGGCTCTGTCTCAAAAAGCCAGAAAGCCAAAAAGCCAAAGAAACAAAAAGCAAACCAAACAAAAATAAGACTAATCTGGGTACTGTAAGACTACATCCCTCAACTGGCCAAAATGCAGAGAATAAGAGACTGCAGAGAACTTATCCCTGAATAGGACACCTATAACCAATCTCTGCCACTCAAGGCTCAGGTATCATTACAGAAGAGGGGGTGGAAAGATTGTAATAGTCAAAGGGGACGGAAGACCACCAGGAAACAGTTTTCTGGACAGCTGGGAAGTTACTCATGAACTTACAGCAATGGTGACAGTATGCCTAAGACCCATGCAAGCTCAAACCAGACAAAATCCCAGCAGAGAAGTAAGGAAGTGGCTGAGAAGGCCCAACCTTCACTGAGGCACTATTGGCAACTTATAACTACTGGAAGAGAGAGTTGGTTTTCTTTAAGTATGTGATGCTAGATAGGTTAACAGAGTCCAGTGAATGGACTCACACCTGGGGACATTTGGAGATACAAAGTTGGTTTGATAGGTCTTTTTATGACAGAGTATATGAAAACTGGCAGGGTTATAAAAGGGGCGCACATAGGGGATGGAGTCTAAATATGCTCAAATTATATTGTATGTCGCAAAAATTCAATAGAAGGTTTTTAAAAAGAATGTGCCTGTGAGGTTCTTTGTAGCATAGTGATGACAGTCCTTTCTCTGACCCATAGCTTGTGAGTCGCCCACTTTGTAGTTTCTTTCCATATCTGAAAAATTTCTGCTTTTATTTAACCCAGACAAGTGCCACCATTTTCCTTATGGCCTCTGATTTTTTTTTTTTTTTTTTTTTTTTTTTACCCCATTTTCCTTATTGCCTCTTATTTTTTTTTTTTTTTTTTGTCTTTTTGAGACAGGGTCTCCCTGCAGCAGCAGCTGGCCTGGAACTCACTATGTAGACCAGGCTGAACTTGATCTCACAGAGATCCGCCTGCCTCTGCCTTCTGAGTGATGGGACTAAAAGCATGTGCCACCACACCTGGCCTCTGATTCTTATTATACGCTTTTAAAAGGTGTCTTTACCCAGAGAATATGAAAATATTTGCTGTTAGGGTTCTGTTTTTACTTACAATCTTTGCATTTGCCTTTTAGTCAAAACATTATTTCAATAAAAATAAATAAAAATCAATCAGTCCACTTGTGACGTATATTATATTGGTAAATTGTCATGTGATGTTTGAGTTTATTGAGAAGCTGACTCTGGAAGTGGGGTTACCCTCCCCACCATTTCAGAAGCAAACATGTTTGTCTCAAAGTGTCCTCCACAGCCCCTTGTCTGGGGAGGGACTGGCCTCTGTGACACTGAGGGAAGAAACAGCAAAACAGCCCAAACGTAAAAACACTGTGTCCTTGGAAACAACCAGGAGGTAAACCATTTCCAACAGAGGTTACTGCAGTGGAACAGGAAGCTGGAAGTTCAGCCAAAGGAAGGTCATTCATGAAGAAAAACCTCAATGAGGAACTGTAGCTGCCTGCCTCAACTTCCCCCGTCAGTTTCTGCTGGGAGGTGTGAGTGCCTTATGTGCCGATATTATATCTCTGTGTGTTGCTATTTGTTCTTGTACTTAGAATCCTCATCCAAGGTCACATTCTGTTCTGCCCAGAACTTTCTCTATTGGGAACTCCAGCTGACAGCTTCATAGGGCTTCTCTAGTCAGATTCCTCTATGTATGTATGTATGTATGTATGTATGTATGTATCATCTATCTATCTATCTATCTATCTATCTATCTATCTATTATCTATCTGCTACTCACTTTTTTTTAAAATTTCGACTTGCAGTATACTTAATAAACTCACTCACCTAAACAGCAGTGTAGCTATCATAGATCATTCTTGGGACTCTACAGAATACCACTCAGTGGAGAAGCTGTTTTCACCCTGGATGAGGGACGGCAGACAAACCGCAGTCATCCTACCCTCGGGACCCCCTGGGGCCACAACATGAGGCTGGTGTGGCACTTACGTGGAACCTGGATATCATCAATGGTGACTACTTCATCCAGTTGCAACAAGAACTTCTCTGTGAAGGCGGCCAAGCTGGCAATGAAAAAGTGGCTATATTTCTTGGCAAATTCCTAGAGGAAACAGAGTGAAAACAGACTTCCAGGTGACGAGCTTCCCTACCAGCCTGGCTGAGGGAGGGCAGGGTTGGCTCTGCAGAAAGCTCCCCAGTGAGCCAACCCCAAAGTCATGGTGACAACTGAGTAGGAGTTAACTGGCATCCACTCCTCAGAACCAGAGACCTCTCCCAACAGCTGATCTGGTTTGAGATTAAGAAAGGATTCAGAGGCCCTGAGGAAATAGCTCAGTTGATAAAATGCTTGCACCAAAAGCATGTGAGTTCAAACTCCACACCCACATAAAAGCCAGTGTGGTGGCCCACGCCTTTAATCCTAGCACTCAGGAGGCAGAGGCAGGTGGATCTCTGTGAGATCAAGCCTAGCTTGGTCTACATAGTGAGTTCCAGGCCAGCTGTGGCTACAGGGAGACCCTGTCTAAAAAACCTGTGGTGTGTGTTTATAATTCCTACACTGTGGAGACAGAAACAGGTAGATTCCTAGGGCTCCATGACCCACCAGGCTATCCTCTGTAGTGAGTTCCAGGTTCAGTGAGAGACCTTATCTCATAAAATGAGACTGTCTCCTGCCTCTCCCGTTCATCACCATGGCTGTGAGCTGGACCTACTCTTCCAGTCCCATCTCTTCACCTCTCTCCCATGTTTTCATTTCAGTCTTTCTGGATATTTCCCCTGGATCTGACTCAACTCACCAGTTCCACATTCAGCTGTGTATAATCTGGCTGCAAACCAATTCATCATTCTAAAAGATGAGCACTCCTGAGAAATGACACCCTAGGTTGACTTCTGGCCTCTACCAGCATACAAGCATATTCACACACACCTGTACACACACCTGTACACACACACACACACACACACACACACACACACACACACAGAGAAAAGACTCAGAAATGGCCAAGGGATGCACACAGACAATTCACAAAAGAGAAAATAATGGCTGGGTAGATGGCGCGTCTCTTAACACTGGTTTTTCTTGCAGAAGACCCGGGTTAGAATCCCAGCACCCACATGGCAGCTAACAACTGTCTGTAACTACAGTTCTGGGGGATCCAACAGCCTCTTCTGTCTTCCATGGGCATTGCATAATAAGGGTGCACTTACCTACATGCAGGCAATACATGCATACACATAAAATAAAAATAAAATATTTTTAAAAAGAAAATAAAACTAGTCACAGATCACGAAGAAAATGATCATTTCTAATTTTGTAAATTATTTAGGAATCAAAGAAATGTAAACATTCCATAATGACCATTTCACCTATTAAAAAAAACCCACCCACTTTTGTGACTGCATTGGCCCAGGTGCCAACCAAGGGCCAACACTTTGTACTGCTGCTGGTCATCACAGTCAACTTTCTGGAGGTTGGTGTGGCCCTTGGCTCCTGGACTGGGGACTGAACAGCATCACTAACCTCCATCTTCTCCTTGTTCATGTGTATCACACGGTCGAGCTCCTCCTGCCTCAGCTCCTCCACTGTGTGTAACGACTCCATTTGTTGGGCATATGTTGGGTGGCCAAGATTTGGATGGAGCTTCTGGGCATTGTCATCCTTCAATCAAACAAGCCAGAAATCAGCAGAGATTCTGACTCAGATCCAAGGTCAGGACCAATGTATCTGTCAATTAAGGCCACAAGGCCACAGCCAGACAGATGTGTCCTGACAAAGGAATGAGTAGCAGAGAGGACAGGGTGGGGACGTGCCTGGATCAGCTCTGAGGGTTGAAGAGAAGGTGAGCTGAGCATCTGCCCTAGCACAATCAGGGTTTTTAGTTCCCTAAAATCAGCACCAATCATGACCTTTGGTACCAAGGACCATTATGGATAACTGTTGTTGATCTCAATGACCAAGGCCCCACCAAACCCAGCAGAGCTTACATTAAACACAGCATAGGGGTTGCTGAACACATTCTGGGAACAAGTGCTGACTCATTACTGTTCCCAACAACTTCCCAGCCTGGCCCATCTCCTTCCTTTAGCCTTAGCCTTGCTCATGACCTTCCTCTCTTCTCAGTGCCCAGTGCTCCTGGTCCTGCAACCCTCACCTTCTTTTTCTCAAGCTGCTTCCGTTGCTTCTCAAACTGCTCCCGAATCTCCTTCATGGAGGAGCAGAACTTGTTCCAGTGCTGTTCCTTAAAATTCTCTGTAACCAGCCAACACACCCGGGGCAGCAGCTCCTCAAATCTCCTCACCTGGGTTCGTAATTCTGCAAGAATTGGGAGTAGGATATCAGGGAGAGGACAGAATAGATGCAAGTTGCTGAGGAGATCTCACCAAAAAAGACTGGAAACTATTTCTCAAGGCAGAACTTTGGTGGTCTCCAATGTGGTAATAGCTATTCTGTCAAAAGGAGCCCTGCAGTCAGATCAAGATGGAAAATGCTGGTTAAGCAAGCTCAGAGGGTTCCTTCTGCAGACTGCTAACATCTCAGCTCACTTGAAACACACGTTGTCCTTCAGCAGCTCCCAAGTTTTCATCTAGTGCCTCTTCAGACGTTGCCTTGACCGTCTCCATCCCCCTCTTGTTGGGCTGCATGACTGTGAGCTAGACCTACTCTTTCAGGCCCATCTCTTTACCTCTTTCCCAGTTTTCATCTCTTTGCCTTTCTGGATATTTCCTTTGGCTCTGCCTTCCAGTTCACTAATTCCACATTCATCTGTGTATATAATGGCTATAAACACATTCATTATTCTAAAATTTCAACTCTTAATGTTTCTCTTTTGAAGTTCTATTCATTCTCTGTTGAGTCTAACTGATCGTTTTAGTAGCAGCTTGCTTCTTACTCATGTTTCTGTTTTCTTCTTTTATTTAACTATAAACATGTTATTTTGTATTTTGTGCTTGGTATTTCTTCCTTCCCTCCTTTTTTTCCTCCCTCTCTTCCTTTCTCCTTCCTCCTAGTTGCTCCCTCCTCTCTCTCTCTCTCTCTCTCTCTCTCTCTCTCTCTCTCTC